AACTCAAAACTATCACGGTATGATCGTATTCTTTTATATAAGATGCTTTGCTGAAGCAATATTTAAAAAACAAGCACATGATGATCTCTTTTAAGTCTTTATATGAATTTCAAGATTTGAGTACTTATAATTGCAAAATTCTTATTAAGAAACTATTGTCTTTTTTAATACAACAAATAGCAATGTTAAAATTCCATTCCAGCCCCTACGAAGCAGGGCCCTTCCGCTAGTTTATTAATTAATTGAAAAACCTATTTTATTTAGTAAAAAAGATTTTAAACATAAAATAAATCACAAAGTTAAAATTAAGAAAATATATTTTCAAGTTAAAAAATAGGGTTCAACTATGATACCAAAAAAACTTACAACCAATCAATTGGTATCATAAAAAGGATGACCAATCAAGTGGTGTTCATCAAAATTCAAGGGGGGGGGGGTGCTTTGATTGGTTAAAGCTCTTCTAATACAATGATTTTCCAGTACCATAGATTTTCCCTAAAAAATATACTCCAATATATATAAAGTTATAATGAATGCATTTATTGTAATTTTTCTTATGTATATGTTGCACTTGTACAAATATAAAACACACACATATAAAACTTAAAAAGTTATATACATAGATAAATAAATAAAAATTGTATGCTTACTTATACATATCGTGTATAATATGATGGTAACACCCCAATCATTGTCTTTACTTATTTCCAATAAAAAAGTGTAAATTGCTAAAACCTCCCCTGAAATTTTTGATCATTGCTGAGATTTCCCCTCAAGTTTGATAATAGCAATAACCTCCACTAAACAAAAGGCATGAAAATATCCAAAATGCCCACAGTTATTTTTGATCAAAATATTTACTTTCTAAATTCTCTTCATATCAATGGCAAATTCAAGCCCTTCCAATTTCTTTTCTAAAATTGATTTATTTTCTAAATTTGCCCTTCATATCAATTGCTTAAAGGTAAATCTGCAACTTTAAACTCTCTTTTTTTTTTGTTGATAAAATTTGTATTGTTTTTAGGCTTAATTGCTAAAACCTCTCCTAAAGTTTTTCACCGTTGCTCAAACTTCTCTTGAAGTTTGGTAATTGCAATCACCTCCCATGAAGTTTTTTACAAAGTTGCAAGTAGACCCCCTCTGTTAGAATCCTCTAACAAGAGGCACAAAAATGTACAAAATACCCATGCAGTTATTTTTGACCAAAAGGGTTTTGGTTCAAATTTTCTCTTCATATCAATTGCTGCCTCAATCCCTTCCAATCTTTTTTTTTTCCGAAATTGATTTATTTTTCAAATTTGCCATTCGTATCAATCACTCAAAGGCAAAATCACAACTTAAATTATCTTTTTTTGTTCATAAAGTTTGTGTTGTTTTTATTTTAGAAACCAAACTCAATAGTAACTGCATGATTATTTTGGACATTTTCGTACCTCTTATTAAAGGATTTTAACAAAAAAAGTTTACTACTGTGTCAAAAAGTTCATAAGAGATGATTGCAATTATAAAAGTTCAGAGGAATTTTCAGCAATTTACTCTTGTTTTTACTATAAAAACCAGCCTCAATATTAACTTCATGGTGATTGGTGGATATTTTCATTCCTTCGTGCAACTGTATCAGAAAATTGGAGATGATTGCAGTTACCAAAAATTAAGGGATGGTTTCAGCAACTGTTAAAATCGAGCTCTGAATTTGGTAATTGCAATCACCTTCGATTTCACATTAGCCACGTCGTTAACACATGTATTTAAGCCATTATTCTCTACTATTAACCTCACTTTATAATTTTTATATAAAACTGCATTTCGAATGCTCCCTAAACCCATAACCCCCAAAGTCTAGTGAAATTCAGCATCTGTCCCAAGTCTCCACAGCAACAAATGAAAACTTAACCAGTTAAAGTACCTTCATGCATTGTATCATGTATCCCTTTTGGCCGCTGATTCGGCTCCCCTGCGCTGGCGGTGGCGTTGGTGCCGGACGTACACCTGCGCTGGTGCCGCTATTCGGTGCGAATCGATCATGAACAGGACTGCAAATCGATGAGAAAATGGTGGTGTCTTCGGGCTCTGTTCGACCCTAAATTGTCGTTGAACAGGGCCGAGAATCGCCGTTTCTGTCTTAGGGCTGGTCATGAACAGGGACCCTCGTGATACCAGGCAACAAAACGGTGAAAAATCACTGAGAAATGCCACCGATGACATCGGTCCTTTCCGTGCCGTAACCCGAGCTACGACACCCATTTCCCCATTTCCGTCTCCGAACTCCCTTGTAATAACATCTCGCCTAATACCCAGAAAAAAACAGACCTCAACCACCCCAGTTCGACCACCACCACAGAAACACAAAAGGCCAACAACCAGTTCTATTAAAACAAGCTCTAACGGTGAGAACACCGTCTTGGTTAACCTCTGACTGGTCTCTAGATATATTGGCTTCCCACGTTGCCGAAGACCAGAAATGGGAAGGGAGGGAGGAAAGAAAGGACCAAAAGGTTAGGTTTTGTGTCAGTAACAAAGTTTTCAATAAAGCATTAAAATCCTGTCTTCGTTTAAGGCAGTGAAGGAGAGAGACAGAGGCCTATCTGTATTCTGATTTCTTCCTATGCTTTCCTTTCATTTAGAAAAGATCGAGACAACGAGAACCCTCGGTAGGTTTCATAAAGCAGAGAGGAGCGGAGAGGATGTTGGAGGACAAAGCTCTAATTGGCACAAACTGGAATCGATCAGTCTCGAGAGATTGAATGATCTGAGATTGATGGAAACGACTCTCCTAGTCCGGTTTTCGCAGGCGATTCCGGTCCAGTTGCTACATTGAACTCAACCCACCTCACCAAACTTTGCTTTGGATCGTTAATGGAAGATCTGAACCTGAGAAGCGAACCTCTGTCTTCAACTTGTAAATCGAGATATGGTTCTTCGGCTGCTGCTACGAAACAACACCTTCGAGTTTCATTTATACGGAAAGGGGCAACCAACTATGGATTGGTCCACCAGATTGAAAATAGCTCTAGGCTCTGCAACTCGGGTCCAACACAGAAGCTTGTCTGAAAACATGAGCATCGGAGATTCAAGGATTCAAGGTAGAATAAGTTGAAGCTCCATTTGGGGATGAACTTCTTCAGCTGCTGCTACAAAGTTGAAGTCCGAAGCGCAAGAAAATCCAGAAAGCTTCCATCTTATCTCTTGAAGCCTGACTGTTCGTGTTCGTTGACATTCACCACCGGTGGAGAAGTAGGCGACAGAGAAAAACAAAGTAGTAGAAAAGATGTCGTTGGATTATTCAGCACAGCATAAGCCTTCGATGAGGAACAAATTGTTGTTGTTGTATAGGTACAGTACAGGTCAGAATTGTCGTTGATTAGAAAAATCTCTTTGAGAACCTCCGCCCTGATCTACGGGACCCTGGTCGGTCCAATGAACAAGAGGCTATTTCTCCATTAGTTACAAAGGCCAGATAAAAAAGATGAATTAAAATATATCTCCATCTTTTTGTTTGAACACTCACCGAGATTAGAGTTTGATACAAGAAATTTAAGGGTATTCTAACTCTCTAAGACCCTACCTCTTTCTTCCATAAATGAGTTCAGGTTGCTCTAGAAAAAGGAAAGAAAAAATAAAAAAATCGTAGAGATAGAGAGAGAAAGTGACAGATACCAAACGCATGGAGGAGCTGAGAGCGGAGACGAAGCTTAACAGAGGTTGAAAAGGGGTGGTTATACATAAAGATTCTGTTTTCGCAGGCCATGTCAGGCCTGGCATGATGCATGATCGTATGAGCCATGCTGGGTCTAGGGTTTTAGCGGGTTGTGACGATCCATATATATTATATATATTTATATAATATTATATAAATTACTATTATATAATAATATATTAATAAAATAAATATTTTTTAATTTTATTATATTAATTTATTTAATTATTGTATATATAAGCAATTGTATATATCAAAATTCATATAAAATTAAAGTTTTAAGTTTTTTGTCAAGCTTTTTTAAATAAATAGTTTTGGCCCGATGCATGGCCCAATTTGGCCCAAGGCTCGACCCATGGGCCAATCCGGCCTGCAACATGACACAAGCTCACACGGGCCTGGGCCATGGGCCGTGCCGGGCTGGCCCCCAAATTACCTCAGGGGAGAGTGACAGCCCACGGACTAACACGGCACGTGCCGTGTCAACGTGTGTTCTCTCTTTTTTCTCTTATTTTGAAAATGTAAAGAATAATAAGTAAAATAGTTTTTTTTTTTTTGTCTCTCCCTTGACAGACGTTTATGGCAAGGAGGTTCTTGACAATTGTCAAAAAAACTTGAAGGTACTAATGATATATTACAGTGAGATAAAATGACTTATCTCTCCCATTAAACGCTCCCTTCCCTTACAATTGTGCCCAGCAAAGGAGTCGCTAGCTTGCACCAGCTGCTGAAAGAAACTTTCATATCCCTTCTTAGCCCTCTGAATTTTTTCTTTTCATTGTTGACTGTATCGTGCATATCCAAAACACATAACGTGTTAAAAATTGTCTTTCTGGCAAGGTTCAAAATCCGGTATGCCAGTACCGGTAGAGGCATATTTTTAAACCTTTTTTTTTTAATTTTTTTCAAAACAAATTCTGGGAGGCTGATTTAAAACTACTCCACCCCTGAACCGGTCAGAACCACGATACACCTTCTGTAAAAGCATATCGAGAAGCTCCCAAAACAATATGCATCAGCCGATATGGGCCGATACGTGTTAATTCTTTGAACCTTGCTTTCTGGTTCTCTTTGCCATACTGAAAATCTTCTCAACATTTTCTGAAATGGGAATTGAAATAAGAAAACAAAAATCGAAGGTAAATTATATTTGTCCACTTTATTTATTTATTAATTTTTTGGAAGTTTACTGATGAAAACAGTTCACTGTGTTGGAGAAGCAAAACGGACATTCTCCCTTAATAGAAAACCCCATTTTCTTTCCTTAAAATTTCTCTCAACCAATCTGTGTTAATGTCATCAATTAGCAACAAATAAGGTGACATTCATACATAGGGTAATAAAGCAGTTCACACGTTGTGCATCTCTCTTTCCATTGTATCCAATTTTTAACACCCCACAACCAAAAGGAGTAAAAAGCAACAAAACGTAGACTGACGCTATCCTAAACCACCTGACCTATGCGAACCACAATTTCAAAACGAGTATTGTAATTGCACCCGCTTAGAAATTTAGTAGGAACAGCAAAAGAAAAGAATCACATTACATGTTATATTTACCACAAAACATCATGCAGCATACTCTATTGGGTTGCAGTGGCTTTGCCCCATATAACAACTCTAAAGACTGAAAGTCATCATCCTGATCACATTCCGAGGAGTGAAATCGTTAGCAAAAATATATATACGACAGATCACATAGGCACATAGGACGAGGCTACCACTCCCTGCGGCTGTACAAAACTTGTAATTGGAGCTGTGCTTTGTTAGACGTGGGAGGCTGACGAGGCCAATATGTATGTGGTGCTTCCTCAGGAGGTCTCAGTCAGCATTTCCCTGTATATATACTAAGATCACCTGTAACCAGCCATTTCTAAATGAACAATGAACCAACCCAGACCAAAACCCTTCAACCATCTATGCCATGTGATGCTCCCTCCTCTGAATAATTACTCTTAAAACAACATAAAACTTCAAGGGGGAACTGGGGTTATCCTTTTCTCAGCTTTGGCTGTGCTTCCCATGCTGCTCAGGAGTCAAAAACCCATGACCATTCATGAACTCACATTCCAAAGCCAACCACAAGTGTTATGGAGAGAAGCAAACAACCTCAAAAATGATCTCTTCCACACACAAGTGCAGATAAGTGGCAGACACGTCAGCACAACCAAGTTGCTGAATGCAAAGAGCATAACCCAACACTGTAAGGCCTCATGGCCTCTCAGCCATTGTAATGGAGCTTCTGATTCTGTGAGCCCTGACCCTGCTGCTGCTGTGGCACCTGCAGGCTTAGTGGCTGTGTGTTGTACTGGGTAAAAGACTGAGAGTAAAGAGGATTCATCATGTCCTGTGGAAGTAAAACAAAATTTTAGCCACCAGAAACTAAATCCAATGGACCAAATATCATCAATAGTACTATCAAACAAAACCTGGGATTGAAGTGGGTTAGGAGCACCCACACTAAAGTGTGCCTGAGAGGTATCATCTTGTGAAGGGTCATTGAACCCAACCTGGGTAAATAGACCCTGCAATCCATGAGGCATTGGAAGAAGCAAAGTATAAGAAAACCAAGCAAGTAAACTAAAGACAAGCCAAGAAAATTAGAAAAAGGATGCAAAATGAAGATAAAAAAAGGAAAGAGAGCTTAAACAAACCTGAGATATGAAATCATTTCCAGTACCCAAATGAGAGTATCCAGCCTGTGAATTCTGGTTTAGAAAGCTTCCTGGGAAACCACCTTGTGTTCCTTGTGTAACATAATCAACACCATATCCACTTTGAGAAGCCTAAACAATAAAAATGTATCACATTACATAAGAAGGCAGAATTGGCAATTTCAGCAATATAAATAACGTTGACAGGTAATGTGTCAATGCAGTCACTTAACAGTAATAGTTATTTTCCAACTCAGGTTCCAACTATAAGACTCAATTTCATAGTTCTGTGGTGATCACTATCACAATGACCACCTTACCACATACATCTGGTTGGTAAATTTTCCCTCTTAGACTTACTAACCAATCTTTGGAAGCTTGATGTAGCTATTGCAGATCATTTTGAAGGTCCCATGCTAAGTAATTTAGATGATAGAAACCTAGTACCTTGAGCATAAACCAGTGTAGCAAACATAGAAAGGACAATTAATCCTCAAAGTTGTACCTGGGTGGAGAAGTTTGCGGTGTTGTATGCGACATGTGATCCCTGGCTTTTGAAGTCATCACCCAAGAAATCCTAATTGATTGTCATATGAGATAGATTGTCAATAAATGAGAATAAAGAATATCAACCATATATAAAAAACTCGAAACCAATACGGAATCTGTACCTGTGACATGCCTCCAATAGAAAACCCGTCACGGAATGTCTGGCTTAGTCCTTGAACCGGCACCTATCAAGTGTAACATGACAATATCAGGACATTTTAACATTAGAAAAAAGGAAACATGAAAAATAATGCTACCAACCTGGGTCATAAGTCCAGATTGAGATAATGGACCACCAACTGAAGGCTGGCTATTCGGATTGTCCAGAGAAGGAAAATTGAAAGTAGACCCCAGACCACCGATGCTTTGTTGGGAACCTTGCTGATGTGAGAGGTGACCACCAATAGGACCACCCGCATTACCACGCCCAGCCCCAAAACCCCTGCTACCTGCTTGAGGGACCTGTGGAACAGCTCCAATTGGTCCATGAACAGCCCCACGAGTTGGAATTGCATAAGGCTGTGAATGTGGACCACCAGGAAATGGTGGAAGAGGAATTCGGGGAACAGGAAATCCAGCTGGATGGACACCAGGCTTTTGGGTTCCATTGGGTGCACCAAATGGCATATAAGAACCTGGATTTCAGGAAAGAGGACCTAAAATAAGTTGATGCATATTGTTTGGGTAGAAACTTAGCACTAGATACACATTGAGGACAAACAAAATTTGAATTTACAGATTCTTTGATAATGCTAGAGTTTAACTACAGTATGCACAAACAATTAATATGCTCCTAAAATCTCTGTGGTTTAAACAATATAAAGCAAATAAAACACCTTTAGAGCGGTTGCCTCTTTTATCAGAATTTGAGCTAGATGAACCAATGGACCCAAAGTTATCATTTGGCACAACCCCTGGGCCATTACCAAAGAAAAGTCTGCGGTCGTTGTAGATCTGTTTTCATATCATCATATGGAGATACCTTAACACAATCTCAAAATTTTTCAATACACTACTGCCAATCACAGAGCAAGACCATTTGAGAGATGCAATACCTTTTTTGGCTTTTGAAACTGGACCATACTCTGCTTCAAATTATTTAAAGGTCCTTCCACCAGGCACTCATGTTCCTGTAATCAAATGTTTAGCAGATTATAAATATAAAGAGCTTATTCAATATATATTACTCACACAAAAAGTCAAGGGGTCAGTTGATTGGATAAATCATATTACAACCTAGGTAAGACAGGTACATCCCTTAGATAATGAAAATACTGCACATGTCGATTTTTTTGAAATACTTGTAATCTGTGCTTACATTATACCTTTTATTATAAATAATTACTTTACCTTCTCTCTCTCTCTCAAAAAAAAAAAAAAAGATAATGAAAACATTGCTGAAAACTTTATTGAGAAGGGGATGCATCCCAGTGTTTTAAAAGTGCAAGGAGCTTTTTTGTGCCTGAGGCACATGGTGCGAGGCAGGAGTCAGGGCGGACACCTTTTTGAAGTAAGGTGCAAATTTTTTAAAATTTTCAAAAAAAAACATAAAAATGCAAAAAAAAAAATCAAAACATTGAAAAATATTAAAAAATAATATTAATTAAAAAATGCATACTTAAATTTTAAACTAAATGTTTTAAAAAGCCTATTAGCTCGAATAAAAATACATAAACATAAACGTATACAAGCACTCAACAATTCAAACATGTGAAACTTTCAATCTCTTTATTTATTTCCCAATCACATTACTCTAATTCTACAAGCTACTTTTTATTGAGCCCCTAGAGGCAAGCCCAAATTAGTACATGCTAGGGTCTTAAATTCTTAATCTGTACTCAAAATTTGTTTCATACTTTAGTTTTATTTCCCTATCTTTTATAAAATGTCCTGCATTAGGAAGAATGAAATGAACAATATGGTAGATCCCAGGCGGATAACCCACCATCAGATCACTGGGCCCATACTGTTCAGGAAACCCAGGCCCGCACAGGTCGTGAAGCCCATGCAGCACCAGTAGCAGCCCATGCAAAGCTTTACAAACCCCCACTGCGTTTTGCTTACAACCACAGGCCACGTCGTGACCACCCACATGCATAGCTCGTGGTAATGATGAGCTGATAAGTGAGAAAGCCTATATAAGGCCTACAGGTAGAACAGAATGCTCAGAAAAAATCATAACCAACTTATTCCCTTCCCTATTTCTCTTCTTTCCCTCTCTCTTAATTCTGTTTCTGAAGGAAGGAGCTCCCTCGAAGAAGCTCCTTAACAAAAGGGGATTCTAGGAGCCCCTGGGCCAGTCACCATGTTTAAAAAAGTACAAAAAGTGCATAATTTAACAAAGGCACACACTTGGGTTGATCCCGCCGGGCCTAGGCCTAGGTGCCTGGGCATGGGCACATCTGGTGCATGAAGGAGAAAGAGGAATGGAGAGGGACAGCCCATTAACCAGTAATTGGCCAGCCAATTAAATATCTGTTTTAATAAATAGCTTTATATTTTTTTTTATGAATAAACAGCTTTATGGTTAACAGTACTAGTAAAAGTCTAAGTTTTAAGTTTCTGTAGAAGCCAGTATTAGTTTCCTATTGCAAGCCAGTTTCAGTTTCCCAATACAAATCAGTTTCCTTTTATATTCAGGTTTTATGAGAGGGAGAGGCCTATTGTGATCGACTCTTCCCTATTATAAAAGGTGGGATTAGTAAAGCCTTTATCACTTACAAGCACACTTAAAGAAAGTTGAGCATAATGTAGAACTAGAACAGGTATGGCTGTCAACAAATAAATCATACTCAACCACTTTATACCCCAATTGAATTTGTGTGTCTGTATCATGCTGAATATAATGTTATTCTGCTGACGCCTAACCAATTATGTGGCTTCTCATAAAGAGGTCAATAACACTAATCAATTGCAAATATATATATATATAAATAAAACAATTACACTTTACCTTCTCTCTCTCTCAAAAAAAAAAAAACTGTTCAATTGCAAAAACCCTTCTTGTTCCACATTAAGCTAAGCATTCTCTGAATGGACAACACAAGGATACAACATTTGACAGAAAATAACACCTACTCACTCAAATTGTCACAGTCTAACAGATAGGCACATTCAGCTTCTCAAGTAACGCAATGCCCTCCTCAAGTTACTTGAAATGGGAAACCAATTACATGACAGACAAGAGATAGCATTATTCAGAAGAAAAAAGATATGGTACCTTGTAGTGGGTCAATAAACTATTCCACAATGGCTGTTTGCTCAAGACTTTAGGATTTCCCAAGATAACAATACCATAGCGAGCTCGTGTAAGAGCAACATTGAGCCTGCGCGGATCATTAAGGAATCCTATGCCCTGAAAATTTATTCCAAGAAAGAAATATAAGACTGAAGTTATTGTGTAAAATAAAAACAAAATGTAGCAAAATCACAAAAGAGCATAATTGTGGTAAAACAAATATAATCTAGTTAGAAATAATATTCTGTAAAAACACTAGGAATTGAAGCATTTGGTTTTAACCTATATGAGGCAAACACAGAAATTAAAGCATTTGGTTTTAACCTAAAAGGAAACACTAACTAACAAGTTCCTTCTCAGCAATCCTGCATAACAAATCACAAAGAAACTACAAAAATGAAAATATCCCAACTACCCCCTTTTTCTCTTAGATGTGTTGTATTGAAAACATTTTCAACTCAATAAGAAAAAATCATTAGCCAAGAATAGGCCAACGTTGTAGTCATCAAAATCATATGTTTACAATACAACTCAATGTTCAAAACTGTGAATCTGAAGGGGTTCAATTTGAACCTTACATGTGAATTCTTTTCTGCAAGAAGCTTATGATTACTGTTTGAATCTTGTGATTGAATTCAAGAATCTTACAATTTATATGATTCATGCAGTTCAAATTAATTCTATCAAGTCCTAGTTTTCTACTTCTTCATTCTTCTGTTTCTTTTAATTTTCTTTGTGGGACTCCTGTTTAAAAAAACCTTGTAAGAACAAGGTTATTTAATACAAAGTTAGAAATTTTATTGAGTTTATTTTCCATCACATGTAGGTGATATTGCCATTGTATGTGGGTTAATTGGCATTCAAGTTTGACTTGATGCAAGTAATCTGTCCACAATAAATTTTCTTTAAACCCAACTGCCAAAAGACAAATTTAAATAATGTATTTAGTTGATCCCAAACCTTACCCACACCTACATACATCTAAATACATCTAAGGAAAGATCCAAATCTTACCCAGACCCTCAAACAAGAAGAAAGTCCCAATACAACCCCTCGGTACCAATACCACCCACTAATCCCCCAACTATATTACATGTGTGCCTAGAAACATCTGTTATCTCTAAACCCCTTGATCCACCAAGCTGTTAGCAGATCTTCTGACCCATCTAATTTGTGCATTCATATCTTTTGAAAGCCATTGAAAGCACCTAAATTCGTTCCTCAGCTGCCAAATCACCCCTATTTGCTCGGAGAACCCCCCTATTTGCTAATGTTGTTCATTCATTCATTGCAATAAAATATCTTCTTAAAAGGCAACGAAAGTTATAGAATCATTATTTTTTATGTGAGAAATAAGGACTTTAAACCCTAACATAGACTTGTTCGGGCTTGCCTCGAGGGGTGTGGTACAAAGGCAACTAATAGAATCAAGAATGCAATGTGTTTTACATCACATTCCCTACTTGAAACAATGCAATTAAGGAGAAAAAGAGATTGTGGGTTTTACATGCTTGAAAATGCTTTATATGTTTGTTTTTATATTGAATACACTTTACATGTTATGTTATATGTATTTTAATTTTAGATAATAGGTTTTTTAAAACATTTATTTTAAAATTTAAGTTTATATTTTTTATTAACATTATGTTTAATATTTTTTGAATTTTTTGCATTCTTTTAAAATTTTTGGCATTTTTTTGAATTTTCTGACTTTTTTTTTTGTAATTTTGTGCCTTGCTTAAAAAGGCGTGCGCCTCATGTGCAAATTGGCCCTTGCACTTTTTTTGCACCATGTGCTTTTAAAACACAGATTGCAAGAGACCAAAAGAGCAGATTTTGACATTAAGTGGGCAAGGAGTGAATGGAGAGATAAGGGGATTAGTTGGGCGACTCTGCCTTCCTAGAGACGTGCAGGAGGTGTTGTGACAATGTGGAAGAAGGAAGTACTTGTAGGTAGGGAGGAGTTGATAGACCAATTTTTAGTCTCCTTGAAGTTTAGACAAGTGGAGGATGGATTCAAATGGGTATTAACCAATGTCTATGGACCAAATGATTATTGAGAGAAGAGGAAGTTATGGGAAGAACTGGCTGATATTAGGGGATTGTGGGAAGGGCATTGGTGTTTAGGAGGTGATTTCAATGTAATCAGATTCTTGGAAGAAACAAATAGTCCTAGGCAGAGGTCGACCACGAGTATGAGGAAATTTAATCAATTTGTGGATGCCTACAAACTTAAAGAGATCCCATTGTCACATAGTTGTTTTACTTGGTCCAATCTCCAAGTGACTCCGATTTGCTCCAAGTTGGACAAATTCTTATTTTCAAATGACTGGGAAGAACATTGGGGGAATTTGAACTCTAGAGCACTTCCAAGGGTGACATCCGACACTGGCCTATTATAATTTGTAAGGAGGAGGTAAGAAATGTAGGTTCTGCTTCTTTTAGATTTGAAAACATGTGGTTAGGACACCTAGGATTCATCAAGAAAGTCAAAGAATGGTGGTTAGAGAGCAATCCAACAATGGAATGGAGTGGAATGTGGTTTCACAAAAAGTTCCAATATCTAAATGTTAGAATCAAGGATTTGAATCTCTTAGAGTTTGGGAGACTAAGAGGAAAGGAAGCAAATTGTGACTGCACAAATTGAGGTCCTAGATAGCAAGGAAGGGAGGGGTTGTCTTACAGAAGAAGATAAGGAGAAAAGATGGAAATTGCGCAAACAGTTAGAGGACTATCTTCATTAGGAGGAAATAAGTTGGAGACAAAAGTCAAGGTGTACTGTATAAGTGGCTGAAAGAGGGGGATAGGAATACCAAGTTTTTTCAATGTTGTGGCACATGGAAGAAGAAGGAATTATATCTCAAGTCCGGAGAATGAAGGGGCAACAGTTTCCAATCAAAGAGAAATTGCAGGGGCCTTTGCAGATCATTTTAAGTCTATTTTTAGAAGACCCCTAAACAATAGGGTGTGGCTTGAGGGGTTGGAATGGCCAACATTGCAACTAGAGGATAATAGGGAATGGTTGGGAAGGAAATTCAACTTGGAAGAGATAAAGGAGGCAGTGTTCTCTATGGATATATCAAAGGCACCAAGCCCAGATGGTTTTACGATGGCTTTTTATCAGGATTATTGGGAGATATTAAAAGAGGACCTAAGGCTGTTTTTTGATGAATTTCATTCTAGAGGAGTGACTAACCCTGGGCAAAATTCCACATTCATTGCCTTGGTTCCCAAAAAAATAAATGCAAATCACTCGAGGGACTATAGGTTGATCAGCCTAGTTAACAACCTTTATAAGATCATCACTAAAGTGCTATCCATTAGAATTAGGAAGGTGCTCTCAGCAATCATAGCAAATAACCAAGGAGCTTTTTTGAAGGGGAGGCAGATAACAAATTGGATACTTATAGCAAATGAGAGTTTGGAGGATTTCAAGAAATCCAAGAAAAAAGGGGTGGTTTGCAAATTAGATTTGGAAAAGGCTTATGACTTGGTTGATTGGTTTTTCCCGTTAAAGGTGATGATCAACTTTGGGTTTGGAGACAAGTGATGCAAGTGGGTGATGGGCTGCATCAGGAATTGCCATTACTCTATATTGGTGAATGGGACAGTGGTAGACTTCTTTCCAGCTTTGAGAGGGATTAGACAAGGAGATCACCTTTCCCCTTTCTTATTTACTTTGGTTGCAGAAGTTTTGGGGAAATTAATTTCTAGAGCAAATTCCAGGGATTTAATAAGAGGTTGGAGAGTTGGAAGGGAGAATGTATCACTCACACACTTGCAATTTGCAAATGACACAATACTTTTTTGTGAAGGAGGGGATCTCAATAAGATTAGAAACCTGAAGCTCACTATACAACTCTTTGAGCAAATGTCAAACCTTAAAGTGAATTTTGAAAAGAGTTGTATAGTTGGAGTTCATATGGGGGGAGGGGGAGGTGTCTGAGTGTGCAGACATTTTGGAGTGTGTAGTATCTAATTGGCCCTTAAACTACCTTGGTTTGCCATTGGGAGATAATCCTCAGAAAAATGAGTTTTGGGTTCCAGTTGTGAAGAGGTTTGAAAAGAGACTTGCAACTTGGAAGAAGAATTATTTGTCTCTAAGAGGGAGAATCACTCTAATCAGGTCAACATTAGCTAACCTTCCTGTCTACTTTTTGCCAGTCTTTAAGATTCCGGTTAGGGTGGCTAGTAGATTAGAAAAACTAATGAGAGACTTTCTCTAGGAGCCGGGGGAGGAGAAGAAGGACCATAAGGCTAGGTGAGAGATTGTGTGTAGGAGCAAGATGGCAGGAGGTTTGGGTATTGGGAACATAAGAAATAGGAATTTGGCACTACTAGGGAAATGGCTGTGGAGATTCTCATTGGAGAAAGAAAAACTTTGGGTGAAGATAGTGGGTAGTATTCATGGGGTTGCAAACAATGGATGGGATTCTGGCAAGGACTACAAGAGCATCTCCATGGAAAGCTATTCAAGCTATTTTGCCCTTGTTTTCTCCATGGATTAGGTATGACTTGCACTCAAGCAACCTCATTAATTTTTGAGAACATGTTTGGGTTGGGGATTCTTCTTTAAAAGACCAATTCTCGAGTCTTTTTGCTCTCTCCACACTTAAAAATGAACCGGTTTCTTCCTTCCTTGTACCTTCTAACTCATCTTCTGGGTTCAACTAGAACTTGGGTTTGAGAAGAGAAATCAGGGACACAGAGTTAGACTGTATTTTATCCTTGTTATCCATTCTTGAAGGGGTCTTTCTAGAGCCAACAAAGGCAGATAGTAGAATTTGGACACTCACTCCCTCGTGTTCTTTCACCTGTGCTTCTTTCTTCAAATCCCTAATACAACCTTCTTCTGTTGGATTGCCCTTCCCTGTTAAAGAGGTGTGATGTCATCCTATACCTCCAAAGGTTGGGAGTTTCTGTTGGGAAGCCTTTCTAGAAAGAGTTAATAGAGGAGATTTACTTCAAAGAAAAAGACCCAATAGCTTTTTGTCTCCCCACTGGTGTGCCCTTTGTAAAGCTGATGGTGAGTCTAGATATCATTTACTAATTTACTATCAGTTTACTAAAGTCATTTGGGAATGGTTTACTTCTTTGTTTGGGTGCAGGTGGACCCC